CGGATATGCTAGTGTGAACTTTATTCCTTTCTGGTAAAGACTCTTGTAGCACAGACTTGCTGGAATGCTTTCCGTTTACGTGATACTTCCTGTGAGTAATCCGCAAATAATAGCAATTTGTGACCCTCAATTTGCAGAGAACGGGAGTTACGGAAAGAGGTGAGGATCGCTACGCGGTCTGCATAATTAAGATAGCGGACAATCACAGAGCGTGGCGCACGACGCTCGTTAGATGGGGGGCCCAGGCGATGAGCTCTCTCCACCTGGCAAGAAGAAGATAGGCCCAAAGCTGCAGGGATCCGCGCTGAGCAGAGATCAGGGAGAGAACCTGTATTAAAAGATTCTGGAAGACCCACAATGCGTAAGTTATTCCTACGTGATCGATTTTCCAGATCGTCGATTTTATCCAGTATACTTTGCTGTACACGATTGGATTGTGAAGTGACCGCTTGCATTGAATGAACTTCATCTTCTAAATCCGATATGCGCTGCTCAGCCTCAGATAAGCGTTTAGAATGATCGCCTAAATCTTTCCTTAGCTGTTCAATGCCCATTGTGACAGCTCTATCTACAGCCTGTGTTATGTTTGGGAGCAGGATAGAGGACACTGCCTGAGCTATTTTAACATACTGCTCAGCAGTGTTATCAATGGCAGAAGTGAGTGGGCAGGCAGTGTGGATGGTGAGGAGAGGTTCTGTCATACCTGCTCCCTCGTTGTTATCCCGCTCTGTGCCTGTGTCCATGCTGTGACAGGCATCGTCGGCCATCTTGGCTGCAGAGGGGGGAGAGCCGCATCCCTCCGCCCTGGCCGCCGACTCATGGCCGGACTGCGCCGGCAGAAGGTACCGCTCCATGCTGGGGCCACTGCAGGAAGGTAAGGGGCACCCCAGGACTGTATAGCGGGGGGTCCCCGAGGCAGTAAGCAGGCTTTATAGAGCCGGGATCCCGGGGAGCCGCGGGTCCCGCGAATTACAGCATCCGGCGCCGGAACCGGAAGTTTTCTTCATGTTTTGATTTGGAATAGAATGTGTAGTGTTCCCAATGCATTTGTGTGTATGGAAATAAAAGCTATTAGAAGGATTTTGAGATTTATTCACTTTTTTCAACACACTGCTATTATTTTGAACACAACTGTATATACCTTAGATTGTACACTCCTTGAGGGTTAGGGACTGATGTGAATGTACACATATATATGTAAAGCGCTACATAAATTGGCAGCACTATATAAGTATCTATAATAAATAAATAGATGGCCACCCGCTCCTGCAATGCTCCATTACAGCTGTTTATATACATGGGTCGAATGGGAAATGGTTAAAACTGATGCTGAAGTGCATTCTGTTTATTCTTTCCAGGTCTGTAGTATTTAGTCATTATCTATTTACAATATGTTTTCATTTTTTTAATATAGTAGTTCTGTATATATAAACGTGTGTTAAGTAGTGTTAAATCATGATGATAATTGTTTTAGCAAGCTGCAGAAAGCATACACTGCACTGGAATGATATTGATAAGAATTATCTTATAGTGTAGGTATTACGGAACATTTCATGACAACGTGCACTTTGAAGCAGTAAAAAGCACTTTTACCATAGTGGCAGATGTAACATCAAAAAGCTCCAGCTAGTTTTAAAAGGCTTTACACCTACTGCACCAATCAATAAAGCATTAAAGTTAATTATACTTTTTTCCTTTTGAGTATCTACTTTCCACAATGGTATTCTCATATTTAGGACAATGTTAATCACCCCATTATAAAATAGTGGCTTGTTTATCATGTCTTTTTGTGCTTTTTCATGGATGTCAATAAAATATATTCTATAAGAGTTAATTAGTAATCCTCTACTAGATGGTAGTCATAAGGCATGTAGTACATTTTTTTTGTTACAAATGTCTTTTAATCAATATCATTACTTTAGCTTGCAATCACTTAAACTGGCTTTCAGAAATGGATATTTTTTTACATTCTTTATTCTTCAGTAAACATACTTTACAGTCATTAGCAAGACACAGAACTGTACAACTGAATACATTACATGGATATCCGATGCAAAATGTTTCAAGTGACAAGATAAAGAGGCTATTCTGGTTATTCTTGTAAAGATCAGTGGAAGAAAGGAAATTCTGTATATGAAAATTTGCATATGAGTCATTCCAAGGCATTTGTAACTTGTTATCTCACAGACTGTATATCTCTGTTTTTCATCTACTGTGTAAAGAGGGATTAAGGTAGGGAAAAGGGATAAGAAAGTCATGAGGAGGTCTAGTTTGGCAGGGTGTTAAAGTAGTTGTAAAGCCTGAAGATTTTTTACCTTCATGCATTCTATGGAGGTTGGGTCTAATGACACAAACTTGCCTGATTGGCTGTTAACATGGCACAGAGGAGGATGGAAGGAATACATACAAGGCATACCAAACCAGAGTTAATGGCGAATATAACATAGCAAGAGTCCTGCTTGCTTGGTGCCCACTAATGATTCCAGCCTGTATGTGAAGTGTCCCAGACTGGTAGTTCTTAGGTGGTGGAAACCCCATATTTTGGAAAAGTTTTAAAAACAGTACATATGATATGTTGATGTAACAGTGCTTTTAATCATTGTTCAGAGCCACATGCAAGTTTCAATTTCAAAGGATACGTTCACCTTTTGGAGCATGTTACACATTACACAGATATTTAGGGTGTAACGTTTAACATGCTCCAGCACATGTTCTCCTCAACCACTCCCTTCTTGGGAGTTCCTCTACTCGCACCCACTCTCACATTTTAATAATCCAGGTCATTCATTCACAGGAATCTGTGCATGAGAGATCTTCCAGTACGGTAGATGGCCTGTAGTTCCTGATGAACTGCATGGGTGCTGATGAGCATGTTTGTGGTTCATTCACAAGCCCTGAAGCTTTCAGAAAAACAGCACATACAGAGGTATGCATAGAAGTCTGTATTACTTGTCTGCAGGAGCATGACATTGCACCTGTGATCCACTGATCATGGGTGCAATGCTTTGCAGGCTTCTGCAGGAAAAATCAATAAATGCACATTTTGATTCTGAAAAATATGTTAATTTATTTTATTTGTTCCAAAAGGTGAACTTAGCCTTTAAAAACAGCCTTAGCCATATAATTTGCTCTAGAATAGGAAAGGTTAGAAACATCAGGCTTTTTTTTTTTTTTGCTGTCTCACTATTGTGGACATTTTTCCAAACCCCTTGCTCTCTATAACCAAGATCAGAAGTGAAATGAAATCTCCCCAACAAGGTTACAGACAACAATAAAACACATTGGGGTTGATTTGCTAAATGCAAATAGACTGTTCCCTTTGCAAGGGAAGTTGCATTTTGCATGGGAATTTTCTCCAGAACTCGAGAGGTGAAGCTCTGTAAAGTGCAATTTTACAACACCAAGTAAAGTAACTCTGAGGGAAAATCTTATGCAAAGTGCAACTTTCTTTGTAAAGTGATAAGCCGATTTAGACTTTAATAAATCAACCTCATTGTTTATTGGAGTCAAGAAACATAAAGAATTTTGTAATACAAAAGCTCTATCATGGTTGCATTTAGTACACGACCAATAGGTAAATGCAACTTTCTAGAGATTAAGATTAGGATTATGGGTGAGGGTTAGGTGTTAAGGGTTTGGATTTAGGAGTTATGTTTTAGGATTAAGGTTAAGTGCTAAGGAATAATTTTAAGTTGTAGGGTTATTGTTAAAGTTAGGGTAAAGTCCTGAAAACAGAAAGCTGCGGTGATGCCTGCATGTGATTCTGAACTTCCATGAATGAAAAGGGTGGCCATGAAGAGTAAGAATGAAAAGGAAAGAACTGCTGAACATCCTCCACCAGGGAAGGAGTTGGCTCTATCTGACTTGTTGTAGGTTCTAATGGACATTGTGAGAAGCTCACAGTGTGCCAGTGAAACCAGAGTAATCAATTTCAGTACAAGAAAAGATCCTGCACAACTGAAATCTGCATTCATCCCTATAGGATACAATTCCAAAATATAATATACAGTATATATATATATATATATATATACATATATACACAGTATATACATATTGGAAGGTGCTGAAAGCTTGAATCTACAATATATTACCTTTGGTTATCCAAACATCCTTCATTAATTGATGGCTGTCACAGTATAATACTCTACTTCTGCTAAATATAAAACAACCCTCTAAATACATCTATAAAAGTTGATTAAACAAAACAAATTTCATTTAAGCAACCCAATACATGAAATTAACATGTTTCAACACCTCCCCAATCTCTGTTGCAGACCTAAAACGTAAAGTACAAATAAAGACAAGTGTTTTTTTTTTGTTTTAGATAGAATTCCCTTGTTAGGAAGAATCACTCTGTCTATTTGTCCTGTTTACCATTATCATTGAAAATGAAAGTAAATAAAATCCCCCCATTTTTTGTTGTCTCCAGAAAAGTAATAGGGACACTAGTTCTGGTGACCTAGGGGTTCCCATGGGATTCCCTTAATTTGCAGGGATTTCCTCCCACTTCCTGTTTTGGCTATGGGACAGGAAGTAAAGGGAAATCTCCCCAATGGGACACAGATGACAAAAACAAAACCGACAGGGGTTTTGACCCTCCCTTACTCTATCCAAAATAAAATGAAATAAAAAATGCCTACAGTTCTAATTTAAGATAACCCTAACTTTCACTTCCAGTGTATTGCAACTTAATGTACTAGCCCTACCTATTTAAAACTTGCCTACCAGTTCTAAAAGAATTCCTGTAGCTGAAACAACATTTAAATACAGTATGTGAAACTAGAGTATACATTTTTACATTTTTCAACAGAATGTTATCTATATGACTATAATCCAATAATGTAATTTTGGTCATGGTTATGTGATTGTACATTAGCCAGTGTTGGACAACCTTCACTGAATTAACTGACTTTGCCATTAAAGTATAATCATGTATTGCTGAAAAATAAAGTGTTGAAAAAATGAACTTTGTTCATATTTTCTTTTTTTCTTTGCAGATGGAAACAAGAAAGCGTCTTGCAAAAATTGTCCTAGTATTTGTTGGCTGCTTTGCTCTTTGCTGGTTCCCAAACCATGTGTTATATATGTATCGCTCCTTTAACTATAATGAAATTGATCCTTCTTTGGCCCATATGATTATCACCTTAGTAGCACGTGTCTTGAGTTTTTCTAATTCTTGTGTCAACCCTTTTGCGCTCTACCTGCTGAGCGAAAGCTTTAGGAGACATTTTAACAGTCAACTTTGTTGCCGGAGAAAGAGACGTCGGGAGAGATCAACTAGTTATCTACTCAATTCATCAGCTGTTCGAATGACCTCTATAAAGAGCAATGTTAAGAATACAGTAACTAGTACTACACTCCTCAATGGTCAAAGTCGTCAGGAGGTATCCTTGTGATCATTTTCGCAAATAAGATAATCTTGACTACAATTAAGTGAAAATTAAAATTGTTACAGTGGAACTGGGTTGTAAAATGAAAATGTGTGCAGCTTCTTATGTTTGTGAAGAAATTAGGATGGATCATCAGAAAATTTTCATTCTAATATGTCCATACTTATTTCATGTAAAATGCCCATTTTGAAAGTAATCTACAATATTCTTAAAAAAGCAAATAACTTGTTACTTGGTTTTTAAAGACTGATGTGTGTACTGTATACATTCCATTTTGTATCCATGAAATAATAATGCAAGCTGTATAAAATTGTATTCATTATGGTAAAATATTAATAAAAAAAACAAACATGAGTTAAATCCATTGTACAATATAAATAAGTTCAATTATGTGTAGTGCTTAATAAATTTTAAAAATGATCAAAGTGTTTATCATCAGCTAATGATATTTCTGACAAAATGAATGTGGAATATTCAATGTTACTTCATGCAAGTGTGAGTCAGTAAATTGTCCTGTGAATTATAGTACACTGATTACACAGTTTGAATTATGCACATTCATGATTGCATAGGAACATTTGTGGACACAAGCGATAATGTACCAGGATCTGAAGTTATGCAGTTTAAGTAATCTACTTAATTCAGAGAAACTTAGAAAATGATCATCTGTTTTTATTGAAAATACTGTATTACAACAAAACTGTCAGGAAAGCAAGGGTGAATTAGAAAAATGTTAACAACACATACATTAACCACTTGCCCTCCAGATAATTTACCTCCCTTAATGACCAGGCCTCTTTTTGCTATTCGGCGCTGCACTAATTCAACTGATAATTACACGGTCATGCAAATACGTACCCAAACGAAATGTACAGTTGCAAGATGCAAATGTATGTGAACCCCTTGGGATTTCGTGGAGTTTTGCATGAATTGGGCATAAAATGTGCTCTGAACGTCATCTAAGTCACAACAATAGAAGAACACAGTCTGCTGAACATAATACTACACAAACATTAGATGTTGCCATGGTTTAATTGCACATAACATGTAAACATTCACAGTGCAGGGAGGAAAAAGTATGTGAGGCCCTAGCTTAATGACTTATCCCAGAGCTAATTGGAGCCAGGAGTGAGCCAACCTTGACTCCAATCAGTGTGATGGTATTAGATGTGTTGCTGACAGCTGTCCTGCCCTTAAAAAACACACACCTATTTTGGGTTTACTGGTTTCAAGAAGCACTATCTGATGTGAACCATGCCTCGCAGAAAAGAGCTCTCAGAAGACCTACGATCAAGAATTGTTGACTTGCATGAAGCTGGAAAGGGTTACAAAAGTATCTCCGAAAGCCTTGATGTTCATGTGTCCACGGTAAGACAGACTGTCTACAAATGGAGAAAGTTTAGCACTGTTGCTACTCTCCCTAGGCGTGGTCGTCCTGTAAAAATGACTGCAAGAGTACAGCGCAGAATGCTGCATGAGGTAAAGAAGAATCCCAGAATGTCAGCTAAAGACCTACAGAAATCTCTGGCACATGCTAACATTTTTGTTGACACATCTACAATAAGGAAACATTAAACAAGAATGGAGTACATGGCAGGACACCACGGAGGAAGCCATTGCTGTCCAAAAAGAATATTGCAGCACGTTTGAAGTTTGCAAAAGAGCACCTGGATGTTCCACAGCACTACTGGCAAAATATACTGTGGACAGATGAAACCAAGATTGAGTTGTTTGGGAAGAACACACAACACTATGTGTGGAGAAAAAAAGGCACAGCACACCAACATCAAAACCTCATCCCCACTGTAAAACATGGCGGAGGGAGCATTATGGTTTGGGGCTGCTTTGCTGCCTCAGGGCCTGGACGGATTGTTGTCATTGATGGGAAAATGAATTCCAGAGTTTATCAAGACGTTTTGCAGGAAAATGTACGACCATCTGTCCGCCAACTGAAGCTCCGCAGAGGATGGGTGATGCAACAGGACAATGACCCAAAGCATACAAGTAATTCAACAAAACAATGGCTGCAACAGCACAGAATACGCCTTCTGGAGTGGCCCAGTCAGAGTCCTGACCTCAACCCGATTGAAATGCTGTGGCATGACCTTAAGAGAACGATTCACACCAGACATCCCAAGAATATTGCTACACTTAAACAGATTTGTGAAGAGGAGTGGTCCAAAATTACTCCAGATCGTTGTGCAGGTCTGATCTGCAACTACAGGAAACGTTTGGTTGAGGTTATTGCTGCATAAGGCGGGTCAACCAGTTATTAAGTCCAAAGGTTCACATACTTTTTCCTCCCCCTGCGCTGTGAATGTTTGCATGTTATTTGCAATTAAACCATGGCAACATCTAATGTTTGTGTTGTATTATGTTCAGCAGACTGTGTTCTTCTATTGTTGTGACTTAGATGACGTTCAGAGCACATTTTATGCCCAATTCATGCAAAACTCCACGTAATCCCAAGGGGTTCACATACTTTTTCTTACAACTGTATGTTCTTTTTTTCACACAAATAGAGATTTCTTTCAGTGGAATTTGTTCACCTGTGCACTTTTTAATTCTCATGCTATAAACAAAAAAAATACCGAAAATGTTGAAGAAAAACTATATTTTTTACTTTCGGCTATAAAAAGTATATTGTAAATTCAAAGTTACTCATAAACTTAGGCCAAAATGTATTCTGCTACATGTTTTTGGTAAAAAAAAATCATAATAAGTGTATATTGATTGCTTTGTGTGAAAGTTATAGCATCTACAAACTATGGTATAGATTCTGCAATTTACGCCATTTTTTGCTATACAGTGCTGTACTAGAGTAACTGACAATTGTGCAGTCATGCAATACAGTACATAAATTAAATTTATGTCCTTTTTTCACACAAATAGTGCTTTCTTTTGGTGGTATTTAATCACCTGTGCGCTTTTTATTTTTGGCGCTATAAACAAAAAACTCAAATTTTATCATAAATTTAGGCCAAAATGTCAATAAGTGTAAATTGATTGCTTTGTGTCTACAAACTGTGGTATAGATAATGGAATTTACACAGCTTTTTTTCTGACTGTCCATCACATTTCTTGAGATGCTAAAATACCAGGACAGTACAAATACCCCCAAATGACCCCTTTTTGGAAATTAAACACCCTAAGCTATCTGCTGAGAGACATATTGGGGTTTATTTACTAAAGCTGGAGAGTCCAAAATCAGACTCTCTTCTGCATAATCAGCTTCCAGGTTTCATTGCCAAAGCTTCATTGAACAAGCTGAGGTTAGAAGCTGATTGGTTTCTATGCAGAAGGGAGTCTGATTTTGGACTCTCCAGCTTTAGTAAATAAACCCCATTGAGTCCATGGAAGATTTATTTTTTTTGCACAAGTTTTTGGAAAATGACAAAAACTTTTTTTTTTTTTTACACAAAGTTGTAATTTATATATTTCTCACACATGCCATTGGTATATGTGGAATTACACCCCAAAATGCATTTTGTTTTCTACAGAGTATGGGGATACCACATGTGTGAGACTTTTTGGGAGCCTAGCCACATACAGGAGCCTGAAATCCAATTACCACATTGAAAGCCTGAAGGTGCTTAACTTCCTCATTTCACTTCCTCACTACCTATTACAGTTTCAGAGGCCCTGAAATGCCAGGATAGCACCAACCCCCCCCCCCCAAATGACCCATTTTGGGAATGTAGACACCCCAAGGAATTTAAAAAGGGGCATGGTGGGTATTTTTCAGATCTCAGTTTTTCTCACAAGGTTTTGAAATATAATATAAGAGAAAATATGTTTTTGTTTTCTTTCTTCATTTTCCAAAAACTTGTAGCAACAAATGAGACCTGCAAAATACTCACCATGCTTCTTATCAAATTCCTTGGGCTGTCTACTTTCCAATAAGGGGTCATTTGGGGGGGGGGGTAGGTGCTATCCTGGCAATTCAGGGTCTCCGAAACTGTGATAGGTAGTCAGGAAGTGTAATGAGGACATAAAGCCCTTTAAGAGCCTGAAGGTGCTTATTGGATTTTGGGGTCCTGTACTTGTCTAGACTGCCAAAAATTCTCACGTGGTACCCCCATACTCTGGAGAAGTATCAGAATGTATTTTGAGGAGTAATTCCACATATACCCATGGCATGTGTGTGAGCAATAAATCATTTAAGTGACAATTTTGTGTAAGAAAAAATATTTTTTTTGTCATTTTTCAAAAACTTGTGGTAAATAAATTAATTCTTCTATTGACTGAACATGCCTCTCAACATGCAAACAGTTTGGGGTGTCTACTTTCCAAAAATGGGTCGTTTTGGGAGGTGGGGGCATTTTATGCCCAGCATTAGAAGTTTATGCCACACATCATTCACTCTTCTAACCACCTGAAGACCAAGCCTTTTCTGACACTTTTTTGTTCACATGAAAAAAAAAGTATTTTTTGCTAGGAAATTACTTTGAACCCCCAAACATTATATATTTTTTTTTAAAGCAGACACCCGAGTTAATAAAATGGTGGGTGCTGCAATTTGTATGTCACATAGTACTCACGCAGCGATTTTTGAAACTCTTTTTTTTTTTTTTTTTACTTTTAATGTACAAAAACACAATATATTGACCAATTATTTGGTGAAATATAAAGGATGATGGTATGCCGAGTAAATAGATACCAAACATGATATCCTTAAATACTGTGCATGCCCCATGCAATGGCAACAAACTGCATACATTTTTAATATCCATAGGCAACGCTTTAAAATCCTTTACAAGCTACCATTTTAGCTTTACAGAGGAGGTCTAGTGCTAGAATTACTTCACTTGATCTGATGTTCGTGGCGATACCTCACATGCAAGGCGCAACCGCTGTTTACATACCAGCACAGGGCCAAAACTAGCGAACGCAGGTGCGTGCACGCGTGGGGGGGGGAGGGTACTTTTTTTTAAAAGTTATTTTAATTTTTTTAATTATTTGTACACTGTCCCTTTAATTTTTTTTTGACCACTTTTAATGCTATC